TCTTATACACTCATTCTCTTTCTCCCTCCTCTAAACTGAATCATGGCCATGTCCATTTCTTCAATTCCTTGACCTCACCTTCTGAAATAAGCTCTGCCTCTTCAGATTCATCTGGGTGTTTGTTGTTTGCATCTTTTGGATTAGTTGTTTTTTATTGTTTGCAAAAAATCCTGGTGAGTGTTTAGAGGAGTTAATATGTACCAGCCCAGGTCTCATCTTGTTTGAATAATTCTTTAGCATCCAGTTAATCTCAGGTCCATTCATCATTTACAGGCCTTGACCACTGCAAAATGATTACCTCTCCCCAAACTCTACATGACAACTTCTCTCCCTCTGCTGTGTTGTGACACCCACCTCCCACAAACAGTGGCCCCAGCAGGAAAGCCAGTTCTCAGGCTCACACTGTCCCTTCTGAGCTACTACTACCATTACCAACCTCACCATGATTGACTGTATTAAAGTGATCTACAGCCCTGGCTCATGTGTGTCAGTTGGTTGAGTAGAGACCCATGCACTGGTGAGGTCACATGCCTGTGTTGTATATATTTAAAAAAGATACCTACTGGTTCCTGAATCAGCTCACTCCACACAAAAAGCCTTTTCACATGCTGGAACCTATGCCCTGGAGAAGCTGCTGCCAACCTTTTGGACCTCACAGAGCACCACTGGTCCATGGACCACCAGTTGGGGACCACTGCTCCAAAAGTTTCCTTAAACCGCGGTCACCAACCTTTCGACCTCACAGACCACCAGTGGTCCACGTACAAATCATTGGTGACCACTGCCCTGGACGACCTCCAACTCATTACACTGGTTTCCAGGAAGAAGGTTCACTTTTCGAAGTCCTAGTTGTGGCCTTAGGAGTCTGGGCTTAGTGTCTGTTCAAAGTACCCAGGTCCATGGGCTACAAGAGCAGCTGACAGTCCCAGGACACTACTCTCACAGAGGCCACAAAGTGTGAAGCCCTGAAATAATCTTCATGAATCAGTACACCTAATTCATTCTGCATCTGCAGGAATTCGTGGAAATAAAATGGTCTGTTGAGAGCCTGGCAATCACCGCCAGGATCTATGGGCCCAGGATGCTCAGTACCCTTGCCCAGCCCAGAGGCCAGGTGACCTCCAGATGCCTGTATTATCTCTGAGCTCAGTCCTCAGTGCACACTCTTGCCAGTTACCTTATCATTTACAGGACTTCCCCTTCCTGTCCACAGCTGCTGTCCTCTGTCTTCTAGTCTGTTCTTCCTCTGAGCAATTTTAGGAAAAGTTAGAATTCTACCTCAGAAAATGTCCCTCCTTTTTTCACAACCATCTATGGCCCCAGCATTCTGAGAATGAAAGTAAAACTTGTGCAAAACCACACCTCATCTCTTTGTTTGTTCCCTTTACACTGAAAACAGGCCTGGGTTTTCCTAATCTTCCCAGCTCAGCCCCTACCCTGGCTCAGCCCCATCATCTTGTCCTTAGAAGTTGGCACTGCAGCCTCTGGCCTTCTTTCCCCCATCACACCCTGTGTCACCCAGGAGAGACTCACTGTTCTGGATGTGGCTTCCTGGGCTGCAGTAACTGAGAGGTGCCAGTACCCAAGGCTGGAGGGTTAAATGGGGTCAGGCTGAGAGAAAGCTGTGAGCAGAGAGGAGTCTGGGAGACACGGAGGCTCCAATCCTGTCCCGTTGGTACACAGAAAGTCTCAGACACACCACTGCACAGCAAGGACGCTGCCTCCTAGGCCTCCTCCTACTGACGACCAGTGGGCTGCCTGTGAGTCCTTGAAGAAACTGAAGGGGTAAAAATGCCTGCCCAGGAGGAGGAAGGTTAAGTCCCGCCCTAACCAAATGCACTGACAGGAAAATTGCCCTTTAGCTCCACCCATGTTGGCACACTCCACCTGGGTAATGTTGTTTTCCCAAATGCCAAGGGAAGGGCTAGCATCCCAGCCAATGACATTGGTGAATAAAGGTAATGTGGTTCAACAAGTGGCCCTGGGGAAGGACAAGATGGGACTAGAGGCCTGGTTAGCTGGAACAGAGGGGCAGATCTCCCAGGGAGAGGGTTGTGGGGAGAACTGGGAGAGATCCCCCAAGGAATATAGGCACAGGCAAAAACGGGAGACATCTGTAATACTATCAATGATAAAAAAATACATTTTATTTTAAATAACATAGCCCAGCTGGTGTTACTCAATGGTTGAGCATTGACCTATGATTCATGAGGTCATGGTTCTATTCCTGGTCTGGGAACATACATGGGTTGTAGGTTCAATTCTCAGTTGGGTGGGGATGGGGACATGCAGGAGGCAGCAAATCAGTGATTCTCTCTCATCATTGATATATTTATCTCTCCCTCTCCTTTCTTCTCTCTAATATTAATAAAAATATATTTTTTAAAGTATATACATATATGCATAGTCCATGGACATAGATAATAATGTGGTGAGGGCCTAGAAATGGTGGGGGCAGGATAGAGGTAAGCAAAGGGGGATGAGGATGGAGGAAATTGGGACTATTTGTAACAGAGTTGATAAAAATAAAGATAGTTTGCCCACATGACATGGCTCAGTGGTTGGGCGTGGACCCATAAACCAAGGTATCTCTGGTTCAATTCCAGGACAGGGCACATGACCAGGTTGGGGGCTCCATCCCTGCAGGAGGCACACATGAGGCAGCGGATCAATGATTCTCTCTCATCGTTGATGTTTCTCCCTCTCTCTCTAAAAAAAATCAATTAAAAAAAATAGTGTTAAGATTGATTTGACTCAACAACACTGAGGTGAATAAGGGCATCAAATTTTGTTCCCAGTCCTCTAAGCAAAATCATGCCTTGATCTGTCTTTATAGAAGATGTCCCAGGCATAACTGTGTTTGGGAACAGGAAGCAGCCTGCAGTGGGTCTGCCTCAGCTTGGTCTACAGTTTTTGAGTTCATTACTTCATGTTAGAAAAGATTTCACAACATGAGTTCAGAAGATTTTGAGGGTACGTTAATTAAAGCTGGGGATCATGAAAGAAAAATTAGGCCTTATGATAGAACAAGCCACAGCAGAGAGATTAGGTGTGGCTCCTTTGACTCTCTAGAAACATTGTGGGAAATAAATGAGCCAAAGTGAGGATGCTGTTAGCTCACTGGGCATTCAGAGTAACGGAGGTCTTGAGTGCAGACTCAGGGGGTTAGCCCAGGATGAGCTGCCACTGCTAGTTGCTACCCTGGTTACAGGTGAGTGGGATCCCTGAAAATCTTAGGTAAGCCCAGCTGGTGTGGATCAGTGATTGAGTGTTAACCTATGACCCTTCGGGTCACTGATGGATTCCTAGTCAGGACACATGCTCAGGTGCATTAACCTTTAAAGTATGTCCACAGCTGCTCTCCTCTGTCTTCTAGTCTGTCCTTCCTCTGAGCAATGTTAGGAAAAGTTAGAATCCGGCCTCAGAAAATGTCCCTCTGTTTTCACAACCATCTATGGCCCCAGCGTCCTGAGAGTGAAAGTAAAGCTCCTCCTGCAAAACCTCCCCTCCTCTCTGTGTTGCCTTTACACCCACAACAGGCCCGGGTCCCGAGTCCTCCCTGCTCAGTCGCACCATCACGTCCTCACAAGGCGGCCCTGCAGCCTTTCACCCTCTTCCCCCATCAGCCATGTGTCACCCACGAGAAACTCACCATTCTGAGCGCGGGGACCTGGGCGGCAGGACCTGAGAGGCCGGTCCCCAAGGCTGGAGGGTGAAATGGGGTCAGGCTGCGGGGACGCTGTGAACAGAGAGGAGTCCGGGAGGCACGGGGACCTCAATCACGGGCTGTTGGGCTCAAGGAGCCTCAGACACACCCCGCACAGCAGGCTCGCTGTCTCCCAGGCCTCCTCTTCCTCACGACCAGCGCCCTGAAGCCTGTGAGTCTGTGAACAGAGAACCAAAAAGTTAAAATGTCCGCCAGAAGGAGGAAGGCGGAAGTCCCGCCCTAACCGGATGTACAGACACCAAAATGCCCTTTAGCTCCGCCTACACTAGCGCATGTCCTTCTGGGTCATGTAGTTTTCTCCACCGCCCAGGCGACTACTAGCATCCCTGCCAATAACTTGGGGAATAAAGGTGTTGTGGCAAACCAACTGACATCTGGGGCGGGACAAGATGAGACCAGAGGCCTGGCTAACTGAAATAGACTGAGGCTTCTCCAAGGTGAAGAGAGTGGGGAGGAATGCAAGGGATCCACCAAAGAATATATACACAGGGTCTAAATGGGAGACATCTGTCATACTAAAAACAATAAAAAATACATGTACTTAAAAAAAAATTGAAATAATATATCCCAGCTGGTGTGCCTCAATGGTTGAGCCTCAAGCTATAAATCAAGAGGCCATGGTTCTTTTGTGTGGTTTTTTTGTTGTTTTTGTATATATTTGCTGGTGGCCCGGTGCATGAAATTTGTGCAGGGGGAGGGGGTGGTCCTTAGCCCGGCCTGCAACCTCTCTAATCTGGGACCCTCGAAGGATGTCCTACTGCCAGTTTACAGGGATCGGGCCTAAACCAGCAGTTGGACATCCCTCTCGCAATCCAGAACTGCTGGCTCCTAACCGCTCACCTGCCTGCCTGCCTGCCTGCCTGATTGCCTCTAACCACTCTGCCTGCTGGTCTGCTCACCCCCAACTGCCCCTGCCACTAGCCTGCTTGCCCCCAATTTCCCCCACGCCAGCCTGATCATCCCCGACTGCCCCCCTGCTGGCCTGCTTGCCCCCACCTTCCCTCACCACTGGCCTGCTCGCACCTAACTGCCCCGCTGCTGACCAGCTCACTCCAAACTGCACCCCCATTGTCCTGATCACCTCCAACTGTTTGCCACTGATGGCCTGCTTGCCCCCAACTGCCCCCTGCTGGTCTGCTTACCCCCAACAGCCCCGCCCCCCACCAGCATGATCACCCACAACTGTCCTCCCCTATTGGCCTCTAACCGCCTCTACCTCGGCCCTGCCACCATGACTTTGTCCAGAAGAACATCCAGAAAGTCTCATGGAAGTTCTCCCAGTCTAATTAGCATATTACCCTGTTATTAGTATAGATAGAGGCCTGGTGCATGGGTGGTAGCCTGCTGGTTTGCCCTGAAGGGTGTCCTGGATCGGGGGGGGGGGGGAGGTTCCTTGGGGCGTGGGGCAGCCTGGGCGAGGGGCCTCTGGTGATTTGTAGGCCTGCCATGCCCCCATGGGGTGAGGGTCCCCGCTAGGGGGGTGTGGCCAGCCTGGGTGAGGGGATGAGGGCTCTTTTCAGGCTGGCCACACCCCCTTCAGGATGGGGTGTCCCACTGGGGTGCCTGGCCAGCATTGGTGAGGGGCTGATGGCTGTTTGCAGGCTGGCCAAGCCCCCCAGCAGGGACCCTTACTCCATGAGGGTGTGGCCAGCCTGGATGAGGGGCTGATGGCTGTTTGGAGGATGGTCAAACCCCCTTCAAGGTGCTGGTCCCCACTGGGATGCCTGGCCAGCCTGAGTGAGGGGCTGATGGCTGTTTGCAGGCTGGCCATGGCCCCGGGCAACCCAGGCTCCCAGACCTTCTTTGAGCGGAGGACACAGCGGCTGGAAGCAGGTATCTGGGATTTATTTATCTTCTATAATTGAAACTTTGTAGCCTTGAGGGGAGCCCACAGCCATCCAGGGCAGGCGGGAAGCTCCAGCTCTATGGACACCACCATCTTGGTTGAGTTTATTTGCATACTCACTCCTGATTGGTGTGGCGTATGGGCATGGCTTTTGAGTGTAGCGGAGGTATGGTCAATTTGCATGTTTTTCTTTTATTAGATAAGATTTTTTTAAAAATTTTTATTGTTTGAAATATTACATATATTACTACATTTGTCTCCTTTATCCTCCATTGGCTTCTCCCTGGCCACCCCCACTCCCCAGCACATGCCCTCACCTCCCTAGGGTCTGTGTACATTGGTGCTGCTTATATGCATGCACATAAGTCCTTTGGATGATCTCTAACCCACCCCTCCAACTCCCTGCCTTCCCTCTGAAGTGTGTTGGTCTGTTCGAGGCTTCTATGTCTTTGAATCTATTTTTGTTCATCAATTTATGGTGTTCATTATATTCCACGAATGATGAGGTCATGTGATATTGGTTCTTTTCCTAGGCAGGGCACATACATGTGTTGCAGGATTAATTCCCAGTGTGGGGGTAGAGTCGTGCAGGAGGCAACTAATCAGTGATTTTCTCTCATCATTGATGTTTTCATCTCTTCCTTTCCCTTCTACTCTCTAAAATCAATAAAAAATATTTTAAAAGTATATACATATATGCACAGCCCATGGACATGTACAATAATGTGGTGCGGGCCTAGAAGCAGTGGGGGCAGGGTAGAGGGAGAAAAAGGGGGAGGAGTATGGCAGAAATTGGGAACATCTGTAATAGAGTGAACAATAAAAAAGATTAGTGTGCACAGTAAGTGTGGCTCCATGTTTGGGTGTAGACCCATGAACCAAGATATCGCTGGTTTGATTCCAGGTCAACACACATGCCCAGGTTGGGGGTTCCATCCCAGTATAGGGACTGCTGGAGGCAGCTGATCGATGACTCTCTCTCATCATTGATGTTTCTTCCTCTCCCTTTGTCTCTAAAAAATCAATAAAGACATTTAAAAAATGAATAGTGTTAAGATTGAGTTGACTCAACAAAGGCAAAGTGAGTGTGGGTCATCAGGTTTTCTTCCAAGTCTTGTGAGCAAAATCATGCCTTGTTCTGTCTTTATACAGGATGTCCCAGGCATAACTTTTAGGAAATAGGAACCAGCCTGGAGCTGACCTGCCTCAGCTTGGCATTATAGTGTGTGAGTTCTTGACTTCATGCACAGAATATTTTACAACACGAGTTCAGAGATTTTGAGGGAATACTTATTAAAGCTGGGCATAATGAAGAAAAACTGGGGCTTAGGATAGAACAAGGAACAGCAGAGAGATGAGGCTGGGCTCCTTTGGCTCCTAGAAACATTGTGGGAATTAAATGAGCATAAGGGGCTTGCTGTGAGCTCACTGGGGAATCAGAGAAAAGAAGGCCTGAGCGTCAGTTCAGGGGTTAGGCGGGGATGAGCTATCGCTGCTCATTGCTGCCCCAGTTGCAGGTTGAGTGAGATCCCTTAAAGCAGCAGTTCTCAGCCCTGACCAGTTTGGCTCAGTGGATAGAGCATTGGCCTGCAGACTCAAGAGTCCAGGTTCGATTCCCGTCAAGGGCATGTACCTTGGTTGCGGGCACATCCCCAGTGGGGGGGTGTGTGCAGGAGGCAGCTGATCGATGTTTCTCTCTCATCGATGTTTCTAACTCTCTATCTCTCTCCCTTCCTCTCTGTAAAAATCAATAATATATATATATATATATACACACACACACACACACACACACATATTTAAAAGCAGCGGTTGAGAACGACCCTTTCTCAGGGCTGTAGGGTGCGGCTATAGGGTTAAGCCTCAGACTAACCTGTTGGCAAAGCCACAAACAAGTCCCAGCTTAGAAGGCACAGTCCTCTTAGCATAATTAGGCTTGACCTTACCACGCTCCCTAGATCTTGCCTGGGTAGCTAATGGGTTGTGGGAGATGCAGCAAGTGCTGCCAAAACAGGTGAAATTCATAAGAACATTGTAACTATGGTGACCACTACCTTGTTTACCTCTGGCTTTAAAATAAAGTCTCAGCTTGCCTCTGGATATCTCTCTCTGTGGCCTCAGCCCGGCACAGGAAGATCCACCTAGACCCAGCTTATTCTGTCAGTCATTTCTTCATCCTTTCGCTGCCTTCACTCAGGCTTTCAAACCCTTGGCTGAGGTGGCTCAGCACACCTGTGTTTTCTTAACTTTGTGTTGCTGTGTGTGTTCCCATCAAGGTTTTACTGGTGTCTACAGTGTGGGTCCCTGTGAGCCTGGCCATAACATCTGCACCTGAGTGCCCACCATAGGTTGTGAGTGCTCTGTACCTGAGTGTTTCCCTGCTTCAGTTGTCTGTATGTTTACCTCTGAGTCTGTGTGGCTGTGCACCCGCACAACTGGCAGCTGCATAGGTAATCTCCCGAGAGGTGATGGAGAGGACAATATGTTCTTCCCTGAGCTCCAGGCTGAGCTTCTTCTGTCCCTGCTCTTCCAGCCTCTGGTGTCCCCCTGGGGGTCTCATCTCAGACACCAAGGATGAATGAAGTGAAGTATGGGGAGGTGGGGACTTGGCATGTCAGAAATGACATAGAGTGTGGAGGTGTTGTTTGGGGAGGACTCTAGGTCTTTGAGGAGGAGTGGGAGGATCCTGGTTCCCTGGAAATGAATAAGTGGGTATGTGCATATGGGGGAGGGCTGAAGGGGGTGATTCATTGACCCCTACGTCCCCTTGGCAATGAAGAACTGGATACCTCTGGAGAGGGCTGGGGGTCCTGTGGGACTCCTAATCCCTGGAGAGCAGGTCACTTTCCTGTCCACATAAAATCTCTGCTGACACCTCATAGAGGAAGGTGCCTGGACTGCTCAAGCATCACTCCTGGACCACTGATCTCTGGTCATCTACTGAGTGTACATGGTCACCCGGTAACACTGGGGCCTGCAGGCAGAATAGGTTCAGTGCGCTCTGCAGTGGGGATGGGGAAAACATGAAGCGACCACATTTAGCGCAGGTTCATGCACAGAATGAATGGAAACCACAGGATCACCATTGATGTTAATGTCAGCGTTTTTCCAATCAGCCCCACCTGATGGAGCACTCACCTGGGCAATGCAAATGACAAAGAGGCTAAGAGGCAGGGTAGAGACTGGATATGCCCCATGGTACATGCTGGTACATGCGTGGTACATGTTAATAAAAAAGAACGTGCATGCTGGAAGGCTTTCAGTCCAGTCACCTTCCCAGTCAACTCTATTAACATGTGGTCTTCATGCCCACCACAGTGGAGGAGCCCAGGCAACAGGA